CGAGATGATGCTGATTCCTATCCTGGTGCTGCAACTGTATATGGAGAAAGTAGTGATGTGGAAACAAAAGATAAAACAAAGTGATATAGCTAGTAATTGTTGAAATTCAAGGCTTAATAACATTCTGTTGATTAGTGTCACTTGTTTGAGCTACACCATGGGTTAAGTTGACTGTCTGTGACTAAGTAGCATGACAAATAGACACACTGGAAAGTTAGACTTTGCTGCAGATGTGATGATAAAAGACTGCTTTCTAACAATTAGCACAAAGGCTTCAACAAAAAAGTCATCCTGAACACTGAAATACAATCTATTTAACATACAAATTGAATTGAGAAGCTATCTATTTAACATACAATTAACTTGAGAAATTAGTGTAAGGAGAATAAAAAGGGGTTTAAAGATATGAATAAAAATTAATCCACAGTTGCACTTGCTGGGATAGAATTAAGAGGACTATCCATCATTTTAACAATCTGGTGTCTGGAAGATACCTCTCTTTAATACTATTTTAACCATATCATAGCCTTTGATAGTTAAATATCTGGGCATCTGATGGGATGTGACTACTTTCCTTGAAGCATCCATTCTTTGTCAGATGAAAGAAATTAAACCAAAATAGAGCAGCCATTATCTGTTTCTCTGTAAGAGCAGCCAGCTGATTAGTAGTCCCCTAATTTTTTTTCTTTGAATGTGCAGACTTTCATGCTTAAATTTAATGCTTGCTGCTTCATGCTATGCATCTTTGGCCTATTGGAAGCAATTGGCAAATCATCATCTCTTTGTTTTATTGCCTGTGCCTAGCTTGGTTTCAGGAAGGGCTGAGCACCAGATTGATGCCGTGTCACTGGAGCAGCTCAGTAAGGTTTGCAATCTGAATGCTAATCCGTCACGTACAGTGACTCAAGAAGTGTGCTGCATGTGCAAGAACATGCCCTTGAGGCAGTTCAGACTGGGGTTCTGGCCTCTGTTCGCTTAAAGGACAATGCAGACTAAGTTTCTTGACTCTTTTGTGCCTTTTAATTTCTCAGTCTGTGAGATGGAAGTTATAAATACCTGGGTTTGTTAGTTGCTTTGTTCACAATCAACAAGTTTAAGGAATGGATTTATTGAATCAATACAGGGTATTACTTATTTTTAAGATTTCAGATGTCATCTGAAATGTTTTGCTGATGAGACTTCTTGAGCTTTTTTAACTTTCCTGAAAAAGTAGTCAGTATAATTTGGAGAGATGCACACCATTTTGGGGTGGGGGGAACACAGACCATAAAGGATTTCTCGTACACGGAAAGGACTTTTCTGTGTATCTCACTGCGAGAGTTTTGTGATTTTTTTGCTCTGTTCAGTAACTGCCAGCCCCATTGCTGTTACTGTACAACGTTACAGCATCTGAGTATCTTCACACATCCTTGTGTTAGACCTTAATTGACAATGTGATTAGCAGCATTAACACTGAGCTGCTAGCAAAACGGGGCTGGTCTGTTCCATGCTTCTGGTGTAGGCTTTTGTCTTTGAAACTGTACAGGTTTAGATTGGTTTAGATTATACTTTTTCAAGAGAAATCATGCTGCATCAGCAACCAGCCTGGCTCATGCCATGGCTACAGAATGGCTAGGCCTTTCATGGAGTGTAGGGGTAGAGCAAAGGAGAGAGGGGATTATTTTGACATCATGATGCGATCAGCTTAGCACGTAGCTTAACATCACAGCTAAGCTAAATTAAAAGCCAGTGGCTGAGCTGGTAACATAACACAGTGATCTTAAATTAAAGAAGGGCCTGGTGGATGACGTGGATCCTCACCTAGCTCTTACCTCTTGGCCTGACAAATATCCAGTGCTGTTGCTTCAGGTTTTCAGTTTGCTTTTCTCTCTTACTGGAGTAAAAATGTTCTGAGTCCAGGTTTGACCTAGATATTTCTCATAGTTGGTGGCTGGCCTTCTGTGAATGACCACTAAAAATCTAATTGAACTTCTTCTGTGTCTTTCCAACCTCAGTATTGATGATGCTCCCCTGTCTTTCTTAGGAGGTGGTCTTCTACCAACTGTGAAAAGGAGAGCTTGTTTTTTAGATGCTCCAGCTCATGTTCTCCTTGGTTATATCTAGGTATACATGTTGACCTCATTGTAAATGAGAAGTCCCAATTTCCTAGGCTTTTAAGCAGAGCCACAGGGAAGGAGTTTTAAGAATATTCTTTAACTATAGAAGCATGTCACATATAGTTCAGTTTCTCAAATAGCTGCCCTGTTAAGGAGCGCAGTTCTTAAAGTATGTGTTGAAACAGTTGCAATGTGCTTGTGGCTTGCTTTCTTTCTTGTTGCTTTCTCGAGCTAGAAATAGAATTTGGTTTGTGATAGTGCAAGGAGAAATTTGCTCTTTGTATCCTTAAATGTGCCTTGTATGTGGCAATCTGCAAAGGAAGATTTTGTAGCTGTAAAGTATGTGATTGGACTCAGGAAAATAAGCTGTTTCTTGGCTCGCATTTGCTTAGACAACTCTGAGTTGACAACAATATATTTGATGCCAGAGAAAATTGTCGTTCCTTCGTAAGTCAGATTTATCAGTGACGCTGTCTGAGGGAGCATAATGGTGTGAGTGACTTCTGTAGACAGCTCTCTAGAGGCTGCTGCACAGTCTTAGCTAAAATGAAAAGTAAATGTTTATTACGGCCTTATTCTAGCATGTTAAACAATTTTCTACAGTGACCTAAATAGGGGAAGAAATTAAAATGGATAGAATTGAGAACTTAAAAAAACCCAAACAAATAAAAAACCAAAAACAAACAAACCAACACCCACACAAAAAAAACCCACAACAAACAAACAAACCAAAAAAACCACATGACTTCTTTGCGCAAAGTGACTCATTCAGAGGCAGAAGACAAGCCTGAGATTGAAGTCTCCTTTCCAAATATTGTAGAAGCTTGAAAGGCTCGTTCTGCTGTATGGGGAGGTGTATGAAACTCAAACATCTGTGAGTTGCAGCTTGCCGTATGAGCCAGGCCTTACATGGCTTCTTCTGAAATGTCTTCACTATATGTTTGATCCTGTAATTTGTTTGGGATTACACATTTGGAGGTGGGGAAAAAATCTAGATGTCACTTCAAAACTGACAGCTACTTTTTGATGTAGTTTACTGTGACAGGTACTAAATAGCTTCTTAAGCTGACATCTTTTAAAAACGGCTTTTTTGTTACTTGTCACTGTTTCTAGAAGACTGAATGGAAAGCCACATACGAGGCACATTTTTACAAAGACTGTGAAGAATTCATGAAGAGTTTCTTAGAATTAGTTTTTAGTGTTCATTTGTAAAGCCTGAAAACTAACCTTCACAGTTCCTTTTCAGTACTTCTGAACTAGTTGAAATTCATGGAGAAAGAGTGCATTTAAGGTTGTTGTGAACTGATGTTTGGTTTGCGCACAGTCTGTACCTCCATCTGGATTAAAAAATCCTGACAAGATAATCCAATTGAGATCATAATCTTGTTTATAGCTTTGACCTTGCATCACAGGAAATGCATCAGTCTTCAAGTGAGCACTGGTACACAAATAAAAGGTTTGGGTGAAGGAGGCTGTGGATGCCTCAAATGTTGTCTTAAAATTGGAAATGACAAATTAGGATTTTCTTTTTAACAGAGTTGCAGACTGAGGTAGAGGAGGAAATTCTAGAAACGTATAGGCCCAGAAGCAGGGACAAGAACCCTGGGGCATGTAGGAAGGGAAAATGCAGATACCGGCAGCATGGTGCAGAGTCAATGAAAAAGGAGCTGCTTGTGGTGACTGGGGTGAAGATGCTTTCCCTGTACTTCAGCAAAGCAGGTGTGCAGGAAGAGGGTGGGGTTTGGCTAAATGGGGAACCTCTCATCTGCTGTCCTGAAGAAAAAAGGGAAGCAGGGTTGGTACAGCTCCTGTAGTGTTTTTCCTGGCTGGGGCTTCACAGGGAAGTCATGCCTGGAGCGATTGCAGCTTCTTGGCCAGAATGCGGGTGCCTGGTGTAAATGGTTAGAAATCCCTGGTAAACCTCAGCCTGTGGCAGATCAGCTTCTGCCCATCTTTGCTTTATGCTGCTCTGGTACAGTATGAACTGAGATACACTGCCCTATTACTCTTTCTTCTGTTACTGACTTGGCTAAGCTAGGGATACTTCATTGACTCTGAAGCTGTTATTTTGAAGGGGTTTTGTTGTTTCTCAGTTTTGTTTCCATTTACTGCTGAATTTTCAGTTGGAGGGTTTTTTCTAGTAAGCACAAATTTTATACAGGAGATGCAGTTTCTCTGCCAAGGTACAGGTTGTGTTACAGGAGCTTTGTCAGACATGCATTATTTTGTCAGGGATTTTGATTGTTGGTTGTCTTTTTTGGTGAATTTTTTATTCACCGTACCTGTGGTCACTCAAAGGCACTGCCAGGTAAAAGACACGTTCATGAACTTGTTTAACGTGAGCTTGGTATCTAACCACACAGTAACTGGTGGTGTACTCAGTTGTTCCACCTCTAAGTTGTTGCCCACTCTTCAAACTACTAATAATTTATTTACCATCTTGGGGCTAAAGTGAGATGTGCTGGTAAGGCATGTGCATGTACAGATCCCTCTGTCCATCAAATGAATAAAGGTATCTGTTCCAAGAACTTTGGTGTATTAGGTCACAATTGGATTTACCAGGTAGAATGAAAATAAAGCCTCAGGTTCTTTCAGTGAAGCTGGAGTCTCATCTCAAATCAGTGATGTATCAGCCTCTGGGAAAGCTTTGGACATAGATTGATAGTTTGTAAATGAAGGAAGGTTAGAAGGAAGTTTCCTGTTACCACTGATGTTTGTCTTATGTTCATCATTTTCAGAGTGCATTGAAATTAGGAGCTCACACAAGAGAACAGATCAAACCGAGAACCTTAAGCATAGCTGCCATACATGTAGGACTTTTTTCAGTTTACAGGGCACATAGGTAAATATGTTTTGGGGGGAATCAGTTTTCTAAAATTAAATATTCTTGGCTTTTGTTTCTAGGGTCACATGATTCTTTCAGCTATTGGGTTGATGAGAAATCTCCTGTGGGACCAGACCAAGCCACAGCCATCAAACGTTTGGCCAGAATTTCTTTGGTTAAAAAGATCATGAAGAAATGGTCAGTGACTCAAAATCTGACTTTCAAAGAGCAGTTGGAAGGTGGGATCCGCTACTTTGATCTTCGTGTATCTTCCAAACCTGGGGAAATAGGACAAGAGATTTACTTCATACACGGCTTGTTTGGCATCAAAGTATGGGATGGGCTGAAGGAGATTAACACCTTTCTTGAGCAGCACCCCAAGGAAGTAATCTTCTTGGATTTCAATCACTTCTATGCCATGGATGACAGCCATCACTACTTCTTGATCAACAGGATCCGCTCAGCATTTGGATCCAAACTGTGCTCCGTTGAATGTGTAGAATATGTGACATTACAGTACATGTGGGAGAAGAAACACCAGGTAGGGACAGAATGTGTAATGTTTTTCAAACCCAAAAGGTTAAGATGTAAATAGAGAAGCTGGGTGTGGTTCCCACTCAGAGGTATTGGACCAAGGATGCTGCTGACATCAATTTAAAGCCCTCTAGGGCCTCCTTTATGTAGTGTGCATGTTTCCCTCCATTTATGTGCAGCTGTGTAGCCCCTCCATCCATGGTGTGGCTAGACTGTGTCCTGCTCCCAAGCATGTTTGTTAAATAATTAAATGATAGTATCCTCGGGGCCTTCTGCTCCTTACAAATGGTTTTCTCTTCTGGAAGAAAAAAAATGCTGACTTGCGTTGGTGAGGATTTGATAAACTGTTGTCTTTTCGGCCAGTCTGAAGCATATAAGCTTTAACATGACTAAGGTATAGTACAGAATTTCTTAGCTCTTTTGTAGCCATCCAAATGTATAGTGGCAAGATTAAATTCTTCTCTAACTGCTCCCATGCATACACACAAACCGGGAACAGGGCTTCAGCAATGGCACGTAATTCTTAAACTGTAAAATACATGAGGCTTTGAGGAATTCCTCTGAACTGGTGCTGGCAGTGCTAGGGTACAAAATGCATCATTTGTAAAGTTTGGGTGTTAATAAAAAGTGTTGCATCTTTGTGCTATCCTCTTGTAGAGAACCACCTTACAAGGCATAAAATACTGACTTTTGATTTAGAGAAGATGTTGCTGACAGCAAGACTGACTTTGGCATCTCATGCAGTAAGTGTGAGTGGAATGCAGTTTTGCCAGTCAGCCCGGTACACTTTAGCCACTTAATAGGAGTTACGCAGAAGATGGCAAGACTGCTAAAATCCTTAACTTCAAGTACAGATGTAATATTCTCTGACAGTACTTTGAAATGCTTTTAAGCTGAATTCTTTGAATGACACTTCAGTATATTCCTGGCAACTTTTTCATTTTAAACTGATGACCCTTAAAGCCTGAAGCAATCCTGTCCTCATAGCTAACCAAAATGATCTCCATCTCCTTTGTTGGCAATAGTGCAACAAATTTACTGACACTCATGACTCAGGAGCAGCTTCTTTTTGCTTGGTCCTCTTTTCACTGCTATGCTAGCTGAGGCAGTACTGCATAAGCATAAACCGACGCAACAACCTGTTTAAAAATAAATAACATAGTTGTGAATTTTTTTTTCTCCTTTTTCTTTGTTCTGTTAGGTTCTCATATTCTACCACTATCCTTTGTATCAGGAATACCGCTTCCTGTGGCCAGGGAATAAAATGCCGGCACCATGGGCTAATACAACCAATGTGCACAAACTATTACAGTTCCTGGAGACCACTCTTGAGGAACGAAGTCGTTATGGGACTTTTCATGTTTCTCAAGCAATTCTCACGCCTCGCGTGAAAACTATTGCACGGCATCTAATTCGTGGTCTGAAGAACACACTTGTTCATAGGTAAGGACTTGCCTTGATTTCTCAGTTCTTTACTTACCATGTTTCATGTTGAAAGAGGCACTGAGTAGACAAGAAACTGAAATGTTTGCTTACAAGTAAGACTTGATGAAAGCATGCAGTTTTGCTTCATTACTATTGCTTGTGAGAGATATTTGCAGTCATTAAAAATAAAGAATTATTGAAAATAATAAAGTAACAGGGTATATATGTAACTATAAGTGTGTTTCCTGGTAATTGGAGCTGTTTCTGAATGTGATGTGATTTCATAAAACATGGGCTGGACCTGTTTTTTCAAACCAATAATTCATTCCAAATTGGCTGAACTTGAATTTAGGGGGGGAAAAAGCTTGTGCCACAGAGGAAAATTGCCTATTTGTGGGCTCAGTTTTGCATACAAATCTATCTCAGGAATTTCAGTAATGGCCAAAGATGTATGACCTGGGTCAGCATTTTATCTTGGGTTTTTTTACCAAAAATTAGATTAACAGTCTGACTTTTTCTATACCACTGACTGTTGTACAATGAATTTGCCCATGAGTAAGATCATTAGAAGAGGTTTTGCTTTGAGTAGCGCAGGGTGCCAGCGATTTTTAATAGTGTTAACAGCATGACCAGGATAGGCTCCATGTGACTTTATTTTATGGCATTATCACCTTGTAGCCTGTTTGCTAAAAATTGCTAGAACCGTAACAGTCCTGGTAGGATCTGGTCTCCTGGCTCACTGTTTAATATTGCCTGTTTTGATGTCACTAACAGTTTATCTTGCCATAATGATATTAAGCTCTAAATTACACTTGTATAGGTGGTCACAACTGGTCTAATTTGATCAGCAACTGAGCTTAATATTAAGCAGTGAGATAAACACACATCTTCAGCAGCCAGTTCACGTTCCCTTTGGGAGAATCATTGGTCACTTGAGAAATAATTACAGTATTATTATTTTGAAGCCAAAGTCAATATAACTTATTTTCTTAAACATCCTTTCTAAAAATAGCAAGTGTTGTGTTTTTGCAGTCACAAAAGCTGTTGATGGAAGTAAGGAAATTCTAGGTAAGTATAAATCATGGAGTTTTCAGTCTCCTTCCTGTTTACAGACATTAATCTAGCAAAAGATAATTAAATCCAAATGATGTTTGCCACAATATATTCAGGTCTCCACTCTGGCTTGTGCTTTGCCCACATCTGTGTGGTCAGCGTTAGACACTAGATGGTGCTCAGGTGCTTTAAGACTTTAAGGCATTTGCTGTCGCAAGTTGCACAAATGTAAATATGTATACTTAACAGAAAGCACAGATGTAACTTATGTCTGCATACTGTTTATTAAATGTACTGTTGTCTCGTGATTAAAGGAAAGATCGTACTGAATTTCTATTTTTAAACTAGTAAAGGATTATCTAATTTCATGGAATGGGCAAGCAGTTTTGTTTCAAGTGACTCCTGGTGCGGATCTGGGCTGTAAGCCACTGGTAGGCTGGAAGCCTGTCTTTGCTCCATCCCTTTCCCTCAGCCCCATTGTTACCACTTGTTTGAAAGTAAACTGTGAAAATTTAAAATAGGTGCCGCTGTTTGCTAAAGGATGATTGCTGGTATACATTTACACATGCTAGCTGATTTGTATGTGTAAATCTGTCTTTGCAGTTCTCTGTAGGTGTCTGCCTTTTCATGTGGTAATTTTCTCCTGAATATGAATATTTAAGTGTTCTTGAGCTCTTAGTAAAGGAGAAATGTGCAACATTTACACTTAGCTGGCTAAAGTCTGGTGTATCCCTTGAAGGGACAGTAATTGTGCCTTCACTCAAGTTCTTTCTTTTGGTTCTTGACAAGATTTTTTTTTTTTTCTGGAACAAGAGCTGTGGGGTGTTCTTAGGATTTTTTGTTTGTTTTTTCTTCCCCATCCTGTTAGCTTATTTGCTTGCCTACCATCTTCTCATATAATTTTGTATGCATATTATGGGACTAATTTAAATAATTCTAATATATTTAGTCATTTGTCTCTAACTGTGCTGAAAACCCTGGTGTTTGCATGTTAGAGTGCAAAAAAGCTTGTGCAGACTCCTGGCTTGCATTCTGTCCAAGAAATTACTTGAAATTTCTCCCCACGGTAGAATTTCTAACTCTATTACTCAATTCCTGACACACCTCACTTTTCTCTGGTTACAGTGCTGTATGGAGGGATGTTGAACCCCTAAAGAGCTGAGGGCTCGATTCTGGGTTTGGTTTCCCTGATCCTGTTGCTCTGGATGGGTCTGGATGCTGAGGGAAGTTCGGTAGAAATGCAGCGTGCTGCCCCCAAAAACGTCGTTCCTGCCTACCCTAAAGCAGGGGTGGGCAGGGGAACATCTTGGGCCAGATACAGCCTTGCTTTGTGCAAGGTAAAATGTACTTGGGTAAAAACAAACCAGGATGGAGGAAATTGTAGTGCAGCATTAAATCCTGAAGCACAGTCTGCTCAGTGACTATAGAGTTCCCAAATGTTGTTTTGTATGCATGGTAGTTTGGATTGATGACTGACCAATATTTCTATTTGATAGCTAATGACTGCATGCTACGTTAAGCGCTCTTCTCATCAGCTGGTTGCATTTCGGGTGGCAGTCAGGACCTGATCACAAATGTGAGATAATAACATAATTTGTAAACAGCACGTTGTATTTGAAATAAGTAGAGTATGTATAGAGAAAAGTCTCTTAAAAGGTTTAATTCTCTTTTATTTCAATTTCTTTAGGAACCTGCCCATGATTTTGAATTGGGTGAAAGCACAGAAGCCAGGTGTTATGGGTGTTAACATAATTACATCAGACTTTGTGGAGCTGGTTGACTTTGCTGCTACAGTTATTGCATTAAATGACCTCCTTCTAGAAGAGGATGAATCTGCAACTAAATCCTGATTGCTGTGTCCCACTTGTGCTCCTCCGTGGACATCTTCAAACTATGCTAAATGTTTTATTTATTAAGTGAAACCTATTGTAATCTCTCTTTATTTTAAAAAAAGTTTTCTAGAGGAAATGTGGTTAAACATCACATACAGGCGGGTTCCTTCTCCCTGTGATGTGTGGATCTGAGTGGAACAGAAGGTGCTGTCTGAGTGCTGTGGCGTGTCTGTGGCTACGTGTTTGACTAAGTTATGCACACATCTGCTGCAGTCCGGCGCGGTGTCTGCCTGCAAACAAGAGGCTGGCCTCCGGAGCAGATGTACCCGATGATGGTGCGCGTCTCCCTGGTGACTGGGCTCACTGTCCCCTCGTGTGCGCATCCGGCTTATTTCTCAACGCCAGGGCTCGAACCGAGGATCGCCGCCGATCCCTTAGCAGCAGTGTGATCAGGCCGGCCGAATCGGTATTGTTCTTGGGCCACCTCAGGCGTAGCTGGGCTCAGCTGGAGGCTGCTGCTGTATTCATTACGCTGTTTTAGACACTACCTCTGACTTACTTGAAGAAACAATATTGCCGTTGTTCAGGGGGAAGCTCTTACACTGTGTTGAATATCCGAACTGACCTTCGGGCCTGAGAGGCGAAGGCTTGGCACACTCTGCCTCTTTGGATTCCAAACTCTTCTTCTGGACCTCTTTATTTTACTTTAATACATTAATTGCAACCATGCTTAAGTGTGTTTCTTCTGGCATTAATTTGGAGAATATTTCAGTCTTCAGATTTGAGGATTATAACTCACAAGTCTGAATTCCTATTGAGACACTTGAGAAACCACAGTGCAACCTTTCTCTTTCACTTGCTGGTCACTTGTTTTTTCCATCCATCAAGTTTTCTTTGGGGAAAGTCTCTCACCCAGACAGCCTTTTCCTCTAAGGAGGTTGTGGGAGTTTGCTTGGTGTTCAAAGAACTGGAGCTGACAGGGACTGCTCAAAACCCAAATCTTGAATCTCTGACTTGCAGTGTGACAGTGAATTCTGGAATTGGACCCAAAAGTTGTGCTTGTTGTCAGAGCACCACAGCTATGGGGGAGAAATTTCCCCAGCCTGCACCTGGTTGTGACAAAGTAAGCAATAGTCGCACTAGCTGATAGCAGTCCTACAGTCTGATTTATCTTTGGGTTAAAAAAAAAAAAAAAAAAACAACAACAAAAAAAAACCCAAACAAAAAACACCAAAACCAAAAACCACGAAAGTGACTGATAAGCAGATATTTCTCTGCTCAATCATCTTCCTAAAGCAACTGTGCACTAATTATTCAGTGATTATGAATTTGTATTAATATCTAAGCTATTTATAATAGAATGGATCATCTTTATAGATCTTTTATTCAAAAGAAAAGTGAATCTCCAGATTTATTATTTATTTTGTTATCATATCCTGTGTCTGCCATCAGACACAGGCCAGAAAAATCCAAAACCTCTTTGCTTGCTTGTCACAAACTCTGAACTCAGGGCAAGTTTATCTAAAGGTTTGCAAACTTTCCATGTAAACTTTGGCTGAGTTCTGAGCAGACTGTAATCTGATTTATCTGTTTGTTGCATGGTTGTCATTAGAGTTCCTTGAATTTTTAACTGAATCCTTTTTCTAAGGGAGTTGGGGGTGGGGGAGTGTCTGTCTCTCAAGCTGTCTTTCTCCTTTCCTCTTGTGTTTCAGTGGCGGGGGGCAAGTCATGAAAATCAGTTTTTGGGAACTACAGCTAAATTTCTAGTTTAAAACTTCCTTTGAAAACCCCAGCAGAAGGTTTTTTTGGTATCTTTTTTCTTGTTGATGAAACTGTTGGAACCTGTTTTGAACAGCACTATCTTGTTTGCAAAATTATTTAAAATACTTGGATTTTTCCTTAGCCGAGTTTTGTGTTAACCTACTTTTCTCATGGGCCCAACTGAGACTCCATGATAGTGTTAAATGTATGGGTTTGGTTTCAGTGGTCTTTTAGCTGTAAATTGTCTTAGAGCTCAGAACTTGGAAAAACCTGGTTTGAATGCTGATGAGGCAGAAATATATTTGCAAGGTTTCCTGCAGAACTGGAGGACAAGGCAAGAAGGTGAAGTGAGTATGATGTTTGTGTTTGACTCTTAATATATTTTGTACTGTATATATCTACCTCAAAAGAGATTTATCAGGCTTAATTAATATTTATATTGTGCATGCACAGTAATGACTGTGGTGTTTGTCCTTCTGTTGTATTTATTTGAATAGAGGTGTGATGGTTGTAACTCAGGGCTTTGGTTAGATATTTTTAAGTACAGACTCAGAGTTTTTCTAATATATTTGCTGTTAGCTCTTGCCTCCTGAAATAGGACAAAGGTATGCTAGGTGTTAAAAGTGTTAGCAGAGGGAGAAGAAATGGAAAATAGCTTTAGGATTAATGATGAAGGGGGGTGGGGGGGAACACATTTCTGTAAGTTTGGCCTGTCTGAAGAGACTCGTGTGTCATTTCAGAGCAGTGCTTGGTGTTATGCCTCTATGTGAGGAACCTGACAGTCTCAATAGTGCGTTGGGCAATTGGCAGATACAATTGCCTGCAGCAGGATATCTCCTGTGCATACTCTGGGCAATGTTAATGCTGGTGTTTAGAATTGGGTTTAGGGTAGTCTTAACCCATCCTAAGCAATATGAACTACCTTTCTTGTGTTACACGTTATAGCCCATAACAAAGCTACCTGTATAATAGGCTTATTGCTCTGACACAGTGCCACAGCATATACAGATTCCCTCAAACTTTGCAAAACGGAGCTCATCTAGACTTGGACTTTGGCCTGCAGACTCTATTTTCTGGCATTATAAAAATAAAAACGTGAGCTGGGCAGGAAGGGAGGATCAAGGAAGTAGGGCAGCAGTTTGCATCCAGTGCCCACATTGAAGGTGTGGCAGTATTTAGCCAGGTTTCAGGCAGCAGAAGTGGAGCAGGTCTGGCAGGTGAGTGACAGTGGCTGCAGCTCCTACTGAGAAACTCGGCTAAGAGTCTAGCTTCTGAGTGGGCTGCAGCTGGGTAGAGTATGGAGTAACTAACAGCCTGCAAGGTCATGCATGTATGAGCTTGAGGAAAATAAAGATTGGCATGAATGCAGGAGAAGGCTGGGGGTTCCTTGTTGTTGATGTAGACCTGCATCTGTTGAATACAGTGATTGTTTTGCTTCTATCTTCCCCAAGCAGTAGGGTTCACTTTTAAAAAGTTTAGGTGGAAAACTCCCCCAGAAGAATTGTTCTGAGGACTTGACCATTCTGTGGGTGCTGGGAGAGGAAAAGCCAGGAAACTAGTAGCTGCTTGAGGCAAAATACTTACTTGAATTGCATATTCTTGAATAATTACTTGTATGGTTATTACAGATTCAGGTTACTTATACATTGTGTTATGACTGTTGTTTCACTTCCTAATGTGCAATCACTGAATGCTGAGCACACTGGAGGTATGCCTGTTCTTCTGGCACTGATCACTGCCATGTGTGATTCAAGGGCATACCTAAGGCACAGGAGACCTCTATGTATCCCTGATGGGGAGCAGCGGGGAGAAGTTTGTTAGGAAGTATATATGAGTTTTTAGCATCTTACTGTGTGTTTGTAGGTGAAAACAAAGAGGAGTTATTGCTAGATTTTGCAGCCTATCAATAGCTCAGCTCCTAATTCGGGAACTACTGTCCTAAATATATTTAACAACTGTGGAGCTGGGAGTTGTAATGTTGATTTTTTTTTTTGAGAACAAAAGACAGATTCCTGTTGTCCAATTTTCTCTCAAGAACTGAAGGGATACCCACTTGCATATGCTTTGCTGTGATGGAGAGCATCCCATGGGAGACAGTGCTGGCAAGGCAAGTTTCAGGCGTGATGTAGTCAGTGAGAGATGTCAGACTGGGAGTCTTCAGAGCAGAAATGCTGATTGCAAAAAGGTCCCTGTTCTGCTAAACAGACTCTTTGGAGAAGAAAGTAATAACGGGAAAATGGTATCTTTGCTCCTGACACATGGTGTTTTCTGCTGTGTTGGTACTGAGTTAATATGTTGGAGTTTAGAAAGCACCTGTGCTGTAAAGCTGAAGAAGCACTTCTGAGCAGGGATTTTGGCTCAAACAGCAGTAGGGCATCTGCCAAGATGCTTATCTATTGTTCTTATCTGGCTAAGACTTTGGAAATATTTTCTTTGCATACCTGTCTCAGGTGTCAGAGTTCATTGTTGTATCATCTAGCAGACCAGGGTTTAGGACTTCTATAGGTAAATAGAGGACATGGTGGTTTTGATTTAAAACTGGGATGGAAGTCTGACAGAGCATCTGTGACTTCAGGTTTACTTGAATATACAATATTTAACCCAGAGTCCATATGCAGTTTTAGTAAGACTTTCATCTAGACTTGAGCATATTGTTATCCATCCCTAATAAGCAAATTCTTCAGTCAGAGGACTACTGCTTGGGACAAAACTTCAGGCAAATTTTCAGTGGTTGTTTAAGCATGAGAAATTGTCTAATGTGAAGAACAGAACTGACCCAAAACTTCATTCGAAATTCAGATTGGGTCAAGATGTAGTCTTTTCAGCAGTGGAAAACGTGTCTGACGAATTCTTATTCCAGTTTTAGTTTTTGACTCAACAGACGGGTAGAAGAGCCAGAGCATATGCTGAAGAGCGAATAAATTTTATGCTAAGGACGACACGTATGTTGGGCTAACTGTGGTAAGAGTATAGTGATTTACTTAGTCAAACCTTCCAATGACAATCCTATTAGCTGTTTGGTTTAGGTTGTTAAATCAGTCTCTACTTTGTATTAAAATCCCACTGATTTAATATGTCTATCTTGTTGAAGAAATGTGTGTACTTCTGTAAGTGTATTTATTTCTCTACAAGTCTTATCAAGTAAACAAGCTTTAACTTTTAATTGTAGGGACTGGAACAGGAATGTCAGTTTTAGAACTGTTTGCTGAATCTAGCTATATTTTATATTCCTGAATACTTGTGTATTGTATGTTATTCATTGAAACAGTACTTCTCTTACCCTTTGTTAGACCTGTGATAACTACTTCTGTATCTCGCTTAAATTGAACTTCAATGTATTCTTAATTCTGAAAAAAGTATTGATCAGTACATCCTATATAA